CGTCGCTTTCATCCTAGACCAGGATTTATCTAGTGAGAAAAAAAACTCTCTCTGCCGGGACCCGAACCCATGACCTGGCCCTTAGCAGGCTGCGCGGCTACCCACTGGACCACCGGGGCGAAAGGGAGGAATGAGAGGTTGTTCGATTTTGACTGTGTGTGTATGGGTAGGGGGAGTACTCCCTGTGACCGTGTTGTTCCCAGATGTTGTCGCATCAAGTGGCACCATGTGTCATGGACAGGTAGACGTGGAAGGGCAGCGACAGGTGAACGGCAGCAGCAGTATGTTGTGCATGGTGGCATGTTGGGCTTGTCCAAAGACGCAGTCCATCTTCGACCACACACAAAGGAGTTTGTTCGTGACTGTCGGAGTTTCGGAGGGCCCAAGTCAGTCTCAAGCAGCAGTAGGAAGGAGCGAACAGGCGCAGTGCTTCTCTACACTTTATAGACTCCGTCCTCCTCAAATCCTAACGGAGATGGTTACGTATCGCACAACGGCTAGATCCGAATTGCCGGCTAGCTCCGAAAACCAGGAGAGGTGGGGGAGTAGCTCAGACGAATGGCTGCGTGTGCGCTCCATCATGTGCATACTTGGCTGACTCTTTGAAGGGTAGAATTCTGGTTCAGTGGAATTTTGGCGGCATTTCGGCATTTCCGGTATTTGCCTATGTCACCTGGATGCATGGGACACTCAAATTTGTCACTCTACTTGCAAGGGACACGTTTCATTGTCAGTGTTCCCCCTTGCGGTTTCGCTTGAGAGCATCAGTAGATCAGGAAGGGTACGCAGGACCAACGTCACCCTTGTGGACCAAGAATGTTGACAGTTGCTGCTCCATGCCTTGGAATGTTCTTGTATCGACAACAGTACTAGTGTTGCTCATGGTTGACAGCCGACAATATAGCAAATGATGTTAAAACACTGTAAGAACAAGAACGCCCCTTTCTGGAGAAGAACGGACGACGAAATAAGAACTTGGCAAATAAGAACTGGTGCTCGGGTTGGGACAGCCAATAAGAACTGAGCCTCGCGAGATTCTTAAGTTCGGGCCGGCACTGTAGTGACCGCGCCTGGGACAAAGCCTGAACGCAGAGCGACTCTCACGGACGCGCCACCGAATCTCGCGGTTCTGCGTGATTAATGCATTCGGCGAATTATGTATGTTCCTGCCAGAGCGGCGCCAGGCAATAGATGCCCTCTCGGCGGACTGGCTTTCGCGGCAATAAGGCAGAAGCAGGAAAAAGGGCGTCCACATCTTCACGGAACTGCAGGGTGTGCGGAATGTTTGACATCCCAGGGTTCACGAAAGCCATACATGAAATATCCTTCAAGCGCCCCCGGTGCCCTACTGCTGTTTTGGCGGCGAAGAAACGCAAAAACCACCGTCGTGTTCGTACCGCACGGCGGGGTTGCTTTCGCGACCGTGGGCTTACGGCTAGGGGGTAACGACTGAAGGAATAGCAAAAAACGAAATTCTCAAGCAAAAAAAGTCTGACTGATGCATCGGGCGACCAACAGCCAAAAATGTTGGCGGGTAGAACGCGGTGGTTGCACGAAACTCCACCATACAGTTGGGGCCCGCGAATAAGAAACGTCAATTTCGGGTCGAGGCTCAAAGTCTTATTTGTGGAGCGAACACCAGCGCAACTACTAATTTTCTTTTAATTGAGTGTCTTTTTTTTCTGGCTGTTGGTCGAACACAGTACTCATGATCATTGACAATTTCTTATTTTTGGGCTCTACCGCCTGGCTTATATGTCACTCAGTCGCCAATTTTCATGTTACCCATTCTTTGGACAACCATATCCTCCGTCCACGAACGTCTCCCAACCGATGAGTGCGAAACAAAGACAAAACATGGAAACCCACTTCCGGGGGTCTTGTCTAACTCGTGCTGCCAAGGTGCCGAGGTGTGCCGCCCTCCCCTGTGCAACAATCGAAACAATGCATTGTTCGGAAGAACCGCTCAAAGACACACACCGGTCGCCCCGGTGGTCTAGTGGGTAGCCTCGCAGCCTGCTAAGGGCCAGGTCATGGGTTCGAGTCCCGGCAGAGAGAGTTTTTTTCTCACTAAATAAATCCTGGTCTAGGATGAAAGCGACGCGCTGCAAAGCTCGTTTGTTAGTAAACCATAATCGACTTCGTAAGTCGCGAGGGAAGGGATTGCTGTACCCTTCTCGCGATAAAAATACCTCAGGCATGAACCGCAGGAGGGGGTCCAGCCCCCCCCTCCTATGTGACCCCGGTTGGGTCGTCTAGCTAGTAGAAGTGGAGGATAGGGGCCAGAGGGGCAGACAACAGAGTCCAATGATGGGAGAAAAACAAAACAAACAAAAAAAACTCAAGCTATTTGCCATGGCCTCCGGTCCCCTAGTTTCGTACTTCAGTATCTCATGCCTCTGTGGTTGGGTGTTTCCTGATTCGGATGTTTCTTGTCTTTGCGTTCGTTTTGAGGTGTGTTTCTTAATCATCTTTTCTTATTTTACCTCAAAAGTTGAGGGTCTATCTCTTAGCTACATTTGTCTTGACGGCGGGCCGCATTGGTAATGACATAGTGACTACACTTCGTGATATTCAACGGAGATGTTCCTCGTGCCCGCCCCCGCGCCCCTCCTAGATCGGAACTGTTTCCCTTATGCCAATCTACGCAGGAAACCATGACAAGGGGTAGCGCCCTCAGATTGCCTGTGCCTCGAACCGTCTCTCAGAAAATCGTGTAGGGCACGTCTTCGTCTGGAATCCTCCTGCGAACACCCGCGGCAGCAGTTGCAATAGCAGTCCAAGAAAGACGTGAAAGCAAAATAGATACACGACGATCTCAGCCCGGGTACATAACGTGACCACGTTTGAGGCTTGGACTTCACAGCAGCGGCGCAACTAGCACGTGTTGCCCACCTCGCGGAAACATGCGCACCCACCATGAAACACACATCGCGAGCTGGGTGGCCCCAAACGCAGAAGGTGAAAAGCAGCAACCAAAGGCTTTTCATTACGGCTGAGAAGGAACAGGTGTCCTTCACAAGTGCACAAAATCTTGCACATGTTGAGAGACATCTCGAACCAACTTGCCTGAATACGGCCCAGTACTTGTCTCCCCCCATTCTGGCAACTTTCTTGCCCTCCTCAGTTACCTCCGTCATGGCCTTGACAGCGGGGTCCTTCTCCTACACCGCCACAACAACAAAAATGGGGGCGAAAGGAGGGGGGGATCACGACCAAATGCGGGGATAAACGAGGGAGGGGATGGAAGCGGGGACGGGGAAAGCAACGAGGAAGCAGAACAAGGGCGGAGAGGGCAAAAATCTGCAACTCGGGCTACACCAAGTAGCCTGGCACGGCATCCCCCAAGACAGTGGAAGCATGTCTTTGACGATGGGCCACTACCGCCCTGTGTACATATGCATCATCATTGTGGATGTCTTCCTTTCCTCTTTCGCAAAGACATTCACTGCTGAGACCGGGCACGTGTGAGTGAGAGGTCCGACCTGAGAAAACGGTCGTAAACAGACGTCGACGGCGTACCTCCTCTACCGCACTACCTTACCACGTCGCCAGCAAAGACAACAACGTAGCTCTGGAAAGTCGCTCGCTTGCTCACCGCCTCATCTTGCGGAACGGCCTTGAAGCAAGGATGTGCTTCTGCTTTCTCCACGTGCCACTGGTGCAGCTCCTCCACGTCTGCAAACGAAACGATTCGCGAAGGGGGCATACCGCATAAGTTCGGCGGCAGCGGAGGGTGGAGGGGAGGGAGCGTTCCGTCCCTCTGTTCTGTGTGAATGTTTTAACCGCTGGGAGTCGCGTGAAATTACCAAGAGGTCATACCCCATTGAGTAAAATACACATGTCGAGATGGAGTTACAAACCGGAAGGTGAACCCACACACGGCGATATTCAAAACAAGAACACAATCGTTGAGAATAGATACAATCTGTAGGAGAGGTGAGCACACGCCACCAACCAAAACGCAGCAGCAGCAGCAGCAGCAGCAGCAGCAGCAGCAGCAGCAGCAGCAGCAGCAGCAGCAGCGGCAGCAGCAGCAGCAGCAGCAGTAACGGCAGCAATGACAGCAACAGCAGAAAAATCATCCATCAAGAGACAACATCTCTCGGGGAGGTCTGAAGAAAGTACACAGCAACCAGGATATGTACTGCACCTGTGATCATATACAGGAGGCCGCCGGGCCGGAGGAAAAAGGCGTACTCCGTCAGTAACGGGACGCTGTAGAGGGAAAGTGGAGATAAACACGATACATACCAAGGCAACAAGCATGCGTGATGTGAGGCACAAGAACACGATGGTGTCGAGACCGCTTTGATCAGATCCAAAGCCCGCAGCGTATGTCCATTGCCGGGATAGGGACATGTGTCAAAGGGACACGGAGCATTCGACGTGCTGGACAGCGGCAACGAAATAAGTTGCTCACAAACCACAGAGGGAAAACTAAAAGTTCCAGGTTTCGAAAAGCAATCTTGCGAGACCTGGACAAGCACAACCGCCTATGGGCAGGCCAAGATTGAAACACTTGTGCACATCGACCTTGCTCCTTGGTATTTTGAAGCAAATCGTTCAATTAATAAGACATTTCCACCCAAACTGAAATCAGCGGTACCATAGAGAAAACAGTTATACTATAAGTCGTTTTCACCAAAACTGATATCATCACCAGGGGGGAAATATCATCTGGCGGGGATGCTCGGGAGGAAACACTATCCGGTGCAATTATTCAAAGCGCATTCCGAAGAGAAGAGAACAGTGAATTCACCCGAGTGAACGAATGCCTAGTGAAATCACACCTAGTGAAGTCATACTAAGTGCAAAGATGCCAAACGCTTGTGCTGCGTTGTCCGGGACACCAATCGAACCCAAGGTCCAGGAATTCCGGTCCGTCATGACGCCGCCAAGCACTGAATCGGCGGAGTGGAGAGTGATTAGCTAGCCATCAAAACCATGCAGTGAGCGTCAAGCAATCGCGGAAAGACAAGCAACTACTCGGAACCTCTCACGCACCTAATAATTCTCCGCCTGTGGTTTTTTGCCTTGAAATGCGGGTCTGGGAAGCAGAAGAACATCTTCTCCAGCTGATGTCTTTCCAAGAAGTGCGGAAGAAGCTGCCATTTCGATTTTCGAAAAGCCGTCGCAGGCACCCCCAACAAACAAAACAGCCAGTCCAGGCACGGCAACACCGCAGAACGGCGCACGTGAGATACATCTCACCGCCGCCGGCGCGTGACACAAGGAATGAGTGACATCGGGAATGAACACAAGCCAGGCGGTGCGAGAGAACGAGAACGAGTTGGACACCCTGCGAAACACAGCACTTCCATATATTCGCGTCAACCATTTCACAAATCGCTCAAGCACTGCAAAAGCCCAATCACATCCGCAACCAACGAGCTCGTATATTTTCGGCAACAGGTATTTCACAAGCACAGCTGTTGATTCGGCGAGGAAGCAGCAGGAGTGACTGCTGCTTTGCACATGGGACTGGATCGAATTGACGGCAGGCCTTCAATAACGTACTCACGACTCACGAGCATCGAGTTGGTCCTAAGGGAGGAGACGTTCTGGTATCGGCCTGGATTTTCCCGCCGGAGGGCTTCGACGCGGAGTCTCACGAACTCGCACACCTAAGACACAAGCATATTTTCATAAAAACCGGAATGTTGTTTGGGCGGAGGGCATGCAGAGCTTATGGTACATGGGGAGGGATTGTTGCGCGGTTGAGAGCTCATATTTCCGTTCAATCCATCTTTGCGACCGTTTCTGCTACTGCCGTCTTCGGGTACAAGAGGGCATCCCGACTAAGTATTGCACGAACGGCACACAACCCATCAGGAGCGCCACTCGCAGTAAGCAAGCCCTAACGGGAGTGATCAGTACGTGTAGCACAACTTTCCTGGACCGGGGCCCATAGAAATATGACAAACGACAAGTGGGGATGAATTTGCAACGGTTGCATCGGCAAGCGGGTAAGCGCCTCGCACACTTGAACACTTCCCACAAGAAAGGACAAAGTGAATGAAAAAAATTCCAGGGGAAGAAGAAAAAAACAAACACCATAACTTGAACGCCATGGACTGCCCACATTCGTCACCTGCCATCAACAAAAAAAGTTTCAAAATGGCGCTACGCTCCCGTGAACGAACGCGTCACAACTGGTGAAAGCAGGAGCTCCTCTCCAACCAGGACGAACTCAACCCATGTCAGGAAATTCATTGTCGCCCCGGCACATCCTTCGCAAGACCAAGAGTCGCTCCGATGGGCGAGCCGACAGTCAAAGCATTTCCACCCATCTGGATTACACAAGCAACCTAAATCTTAGCCCGTGCGACGCACATTGCAACAACGAATCCTGGAGGGGGTGAACGACATCAAACATACTTGCAACCCACTGCTTCTCGCCATCACACGAAAAACAAGAAAAAGCCGCCGGTGCTTTAGACGCTAAGTTCACTCCCACTTACCCTAATTGCCATTCCGAGCATCTCCTGCAGCCAGGCACGCACTCACTGGTCTCTACTTCAATCTCTATTCCGAGCACCCCCTTGTACCAAGCGAAAATTAATTTATTTTTACCCGCATAGCCATTCCACGCACGCCCTTCCTTCCACGAACTCATTTCACCCGCCTTGACTACGATCTTTACCCCGAGCACCCCTTTGCATCCACGCACTCACTCACTCCCCCACACCAGAGGTAATATTTTCCGAGCACCCCCTTGAATCCATGCACTTTTTCACTCTCGCTCACCCTATCTCACTCCCTGGACACCACTTGCATCGAGGCAGGCAACCGCTCACTCGCACTTGCCAGAACCTCGATCAAGAGCAACCCCTTGCATCCATGCAACCCCTGGCATCCGTGCACTCATATATTCGCATTCAGCGAAAAAAATCAGTCCGGAGACCCCACTGCTCCAGGCACTAATTCACTCACCTTCACCCGAATCTCCATTCCAAGCACTCCCTTGTCTGGGAAGAGCGGGGACAACGCTACCGTTAGGCCCCCGAACCCGCACCCGACGTCCACTATGCTGACCTGAAGCCGAGGGGGAAAGGCGGAGCAGAAACGCGCTGGAAGGTGCTATGGAGGTGTGCTGTCCTTGAATCAGCGTTGACCGTGCGCATTGTGCGCAGTGCAACCTAGGATCGACCTCGATGCTCGTTTGTGTGTGTCTATGTGCCGTGCCTTTCAATAGCTCGGGTTCCACTTTCTCCTGGTGTTGAGTCGCCTTCAAAGCAACGTGTGTGTGTGTGTGCATTCCTGTTTTGTACCCCGGCTGGTCTTTTTCGGTTGTGGTTGCATCGATCGCCAGGCGTTCTGCCATCGAGCTATGCCTGGTGCCGACAGAACAGCGTGAGCGTTTCTAGGAATGAAGAAATCGCACGGGCCAGTCGCCAACAGACCGATCATCAATGAAAAAAAAAACGTCGAATCTCCCACCTCTGAACAAGGAAAAAACGGGCGGAAAAAGGGTGGTGTTGCATCAATCAGCGTCGATCGGGTGCATTCGGCGTACCAATGCGGTTGTGGGCGCGTGAAAGCTTAAAAACACCGTCATCTAATCTGGGGCAGAGAATCGCAGGGACCGACACGCCGACGCCGGCGATTTTCTCCCAATATAAGCCAAGACAGCTCGGAAACAGGGTAATCCACAACGGGGTAACGATGCTAATGTAACAGAAGGGGGAGCGGATACCGCAACGACAGTAGCTACATGGCGGTCCTGTATCTTCTCCGTGTGTTCCGAATCCGGAGACTGGATGGATTGTGGCCAACTTTGATAACTAGAAAGTGGGTTTGCTCCCTTTCATCCAGCTACAAGACTGGCGTACTTTCAACGGTTTGCCTGCTAGCGCGTTCGACATACCCTAACTAAAAAAATACGCTCACACTCGCACATGATTGGTAGGAGAGGTACACAAGTAGCATCCTGGGCTTTCAACTGCGCGTCTCTGAGACTTGGGGTCCTTTCATTTGTCCACCGGTTAAAGCGGTCGACAAAAATTCAACAAAGACAAACACACGCGGAAACAAAGCCGCTGTGAGACTGACGTCTTGGCATTGATCACCAGTGTACTGAGGTCGATGCCACCAACAAAGACGCACGCACACACACCTTGAGCCCTGGGCGGTTCGGGTAGTGAACGGACCAATCCATCTCCTTGGGAGTCTTGGGGCTTTAGGCGAGGTGTTCCACGAGAAGGTATGCGTAGGGATGACGACGACGACGACAGATTGGGTTAGCAAGGAAAAATATCGTACAGTTTGAAGGCGTCGACTGGCCATGCATAGGAAGGAACAGAGAAAGGGAGAGAGAGAGAGAGCGAGAGAAAGAGAGAGAGGGAATTGTACACGCGCGCGATGCCAATAGCACCTGACAGTCGCACACATGAGAGAACGTCCTACCACTATCGACATACGACAACGCCCCCAAAAATTCATATGGGGGCCATTAGCGCAACAAACAAACCGCAGCAATCCTGAAAATATAATGACGGTTCGCTCACTATTCGTAGCAGTCGTTGTGCGAAAGAGGGTTGACGTGCGCCCTGGCCCGGTAAAAGCGCTTCTGAGGCATAGCTCCTTCGATCGTAATAGGTCCTGTGTCGTCCTCAGAGCGCTTCTTGGCCTTTCCCGGCGGTCCGCCCCCAGCCTGGCACGAGGTCAAAAACGCGAGACAAGGGCAAAAACAGTCAAGGCTGGGGCAGTCTTGGGCATCAGGCCGTATAATAACGAAGCGCTAATAATCAAAAACAAAATATCAAAATCAAAATCGAGCTCTGATTGGTCGTGATTCTCGTACCTCCTGACGATGCCTTGTGATATTCTGGAAGTTCCTCTCTCTGGGAACAAGTCCCCGAGGGATGATTTTTTCAAAATCAAAAATCAAAGAGGCAAGGAGTTCAAGACTTCGAACGCTTGGAGCACCTGCCGCGAGGCCGCTGTAAAGTGTACGACAAGACGTGCTGTACACTGCTCATAGAGGCTTTCGGCACCCTACCACCGAGACCTTGGCCATTTTTTTGTGGCCAGAAGACTCTGCTCGCCGGCAAGCTAAAAACCGGGCCGGCTCGTTGGGTGCTGTAGGAGAAAATGCCGATCGTGACAAGCGGTCAATGGACTGACGATCAAAACAGGGCTGGGCGGCTTTTTCGGGCTGCACCGTGCGGGAGAGGGTAGTTGCAACCTTTTTCTCCACACTCACGATACCCCAAGGCATCTAACCTTGTACGAGAAAGATGGTGGGTAGAGCTACCTCCCGTCGCGTGGCATCGCTAATGCTGCTGCTTCCTCCTTCGAAGAGTTATCGCTGAAAAACTAAACTGTGAGCAGACATTCGGCGCGACCTTGAACTAACCGCTCTCTGACGTGGATATGTTATGGTCAACCAAAACTTTATTCCCTCTACGCACGATACCCCACGGTAGCAGACCTTTGGCTTGAAAGATGCAGCAGCGAGGTACCTCCCGCCGCGTGGCGTTGCTGTTGCTGCTGCTTGCTCCTTCGGAAAGTCATCGATGGATAGTGGATAACCACCCCCGCGGCGGCCCAAAACAACGAACTTGAAGTGACTGCTCGCAACCGTTCGCATTTTTCTTCAACGCAACGTTTTTCTTCCCGGGCATTCTGCACCTAACGGCGCCAAACCTTGGCATTGCCCAACAGCCCACGTTACCAGCTCCTTCCGGATACCGTTCTTGAGGCAACTCGTGAAGAGTTTGGCGAGACATTAGCGAACACGTGAATAGAAGAGCGCAAAACTCACTCTAGAACCATCACCGCTTCGCTGCTGGTTCTTCCCCTGCTGCCGTGTCTTTTTAATTTTTTGCCTCATCTGTCTCCTATCCTCATTAACATGGCAGGCCATCTTTTTCAGTTTTCCACGATAAGGCATTTGGATTTGGATTTTGTGCCCATTTGGATTTTGATTATTGGCTGTTCGTTAATGTTCGCCCTCATATCTAGTGACAAATAGGGTACGGGTTGTATGACATGCAGATATCGTCCCGGATTTGCTTTGTGAGAAAAGGGCCAACCTTTTCTCTGACCGTTCCAAGGAATGGACGTAAGACCGTGAATAATTGATGAAGTCATTCACGGTCGAGAAGTCACTCGTTTCTCGGCAAGATTCAACATTGATTTTTTGACAATTTTTAATTATTTTTTGACAATTTGGGCCGTGAAAAACTGATTGATGGCTTGATGACCTCAATCGTACTCTCGGGAATCGCGGACCACATGTGCGTGCAACACAGACATCGACTAGTTTGGTTTTCGGTGTACATTTGTACCTTCGACCTGCCGTTGTGACTCGTCCCACAGTTGTGTGTGTTCGACAGGCTATTGATCTGTATGTACCATATGGATTGCTGGGATGTAGTCTCCCAGAGGCACAATCCTTACTCTCTGTCCCCTCCTCGGGACAAGCGAAGATACACGACATGACCGGCTCGGTCACACTAACCGGTGCAAGGATACCGGACAGAACCAATCGCGTGGTGATCGTGCGAGGTATACCACCTTTACAATACCACCTACTACATCGTACATCAAATTTATATCCTACACTGAATCTGCAGACGAAATGAATCTACACATGTAGGACTGAAGGGAAACGTAAAAACCTCTCCCTCTCTCTCTGTAGCCCTCGTCCGGAACAACAATGACGGGGTGGATGATTCCTCGGCAACACACACATACCGAGCACAAGTGATTCTATTTCTAAATTGGTCGGCAGCAGTCAATTACACGGAATGCTGCTTGGGAGATGATTGATGGTGTCTGCTTGAACAGAAGCGACACTGCTATGGCCTGAATGAAAGCTTTCACCAAGTGACACACCGCGTCATCTTCGGCTCTCCCAAGGCAATCCAAACATGTTTGGCAACGAACGGAAGCGCGCACGAGCATAGACGCCACGATACGTTCACCTTCTCCACCGGCACAGTCCCGCCCACTTTGGCACCGGGGGGACACCTTGGTAGCATTGCCGTTGTGAACGCCGAGGATGAGGCATGATGCTCCTCATCCTCGGCGTTCACAACGGCAATGCCACCAAGGGGCACCGCCAGGTGCCAAATGGGCGAGACTGTGCCCGTGGAGAAGGTGAACGAATCATGGCGACTATGCTCGTGAGCGCTTCCGTTCGTTGCGAAAGGCAAGGTAGTCCTCCATCACACACCGTCAGCGATACAGCGAGGCGACGCGGAGGCTGCGAGACAAGTAGAGGGCGCGGAAGTGATCAAGGTTGTCGTTTCCACCATGTTGATACATGCGCAGATGAAGTCTGCAGAGGGGAGAACTATTGAGAATATCAGCACATGGCCACGATCGGATCGGGGGCCAGCTTACATAGCACCCCCCAACGCCCAATGACCATGGTCAAACACGATCACATGTCTTACCTCCAAATACCACAACATAAACATACACAACGTTTGCGTGTTATCACGGGAGAACAATGAGAACGAGACACAGATGGAAAAATCTAACAAGTACATACCAAACGTGTAAACATATGCACGCATGGGCAGAAAGAGGGGGGGAGAGAGAGCCAGAACAGACTTTGAACCAGTAGAGTGATACCAGTTGAGTGTAAGCCAAGGGATTCATTAGAGATAATTTCTGGTAAGGAGGGCTTCGGGTGGGGGGGGGCGCAAGTCACGCACAACACATGCAGCTAGTGCAAACATAGAAAAGCCAGCTCGCTGAATCCGGGCAATCAAAGGTCCAGATCGGTAACACTGCTATAAATGGCCATGACACGTATCCATCCCCAACCACATTCCATTTGCCTGCCATCTACCATGCGCATTAACCATCACACACAGCAGTGGTTGAAGTCCTTTTTTCAGCCTCTCGCCTTCGCTTGGCCGGCGAGCGGTGGAGAAGGGGAAGAGTCGTCAGGCGCTTCATTGTCTTCGGGATTGCTCCGCTTCTTGCTGCCAGCCGCTGGTACCATGGCTCGAATGCCTTCTCCGGCCCCAAGAGAGTCGGCAAGAAATTGGCTACGTCTGGTGGCCTAGTACCGTAGTATCCGCCCGCTCAGCGCGGGAACGGCCTCTGCTCTGGGGCAGCATGGACTGGCAGCATCCATCACGTTGTCGACGAGGGCGGCAGGCGGGTACGTATATTTACATCCAAGTTGCGGACCCCCTCCCTCTTGCAATGTAAATAATCTTATTAGTCATATACCATTGAATAATGCTGCCGCTGGCTGGTGCATCCGACGGCGGCATTGCAGAAGGACGTGACTGCCACTGCCTGTGCCACAATACCTACATGCAAGACGCCCCAGAGTCGAACCTTCGGGGATCCACACTTGGCGCAGCAAGGGTGTTCGGGCTGCGATTAGCTCTTGTGCTGCTGTTGCTGCAGCAACAACAGGCGGAGGCCGTCGTACCACCGCGGCAGCACCCCTCTTGCGGTTTTTTGCTCGCACCTTCTAGAGTACACTTCAACACTCCGAGCAGCAGCGCTACAGCAGCGAGCTTCTTCGGGATGGGCGCATCACCGAGTAGGACCACGTCGTCGCCATCACTTCAGCAAAGGTCGGGCCTCCTTGGGAAGGGGGTGAGCGGCAGCAACGATGATGTTGTCGGCGATGGATACGGCGCGGCGGGTTCGAGCACGCGGTTGCAGGCCACAGCACCGACTGGTGGCGACTTAGATCCAGAGGACCGTTCCGCTGCCGCGGCCGGCCTGCGATCAGGTGGGTGGTTTAGTGTGGCTCCATTCCACCATGCGAGGTCAGCAGTTCTACAGTAGTCCAGAATGTTGAACAGCGAGATGACCACTGACGGGCACGTGCCTCCTGCTACAGGTTGTAGTTGCCATAAAACAGGGTGTGTGCGGACTGAAATTTAGTGTTTGTTTATGTTTGCAAACTCCGTACACATGTAATCAATCGTAATCAATCGTGATGTTCAACCGACGGTAGTGACGGCGGCATTGCTGCGTAGCAGCTTCGTCCGGCATGAGCTTCTGTTGAAAAGCGTAAACTGCACGATCAGGCGGGGGTGGTAGGTACTGCTGTAGCCCAGTTGCCATCGTGCTTTCAACGGCAGTCTACAGCAGTAGTACAAAGGCAAGGGCAGCAGTGTTCATGTTGTCTGTTCCCTCGTGCATTAAACATGAAACGCGCTTGCAGTCTGAAGTACGTTTTGACGGGGGAACGGAGAGTCTTTCTTGATTGCCGACGTTTAGTTATTTTTTCCTTCAAAGTAATTCCTCCGGAGCGTGCTTGTGAGGCATCAATCAGGCAGGAGGACCGACCCGCAGTCGAAGTTGTTTGCCAGCTTGCTGCCAGCTGTTTCGTTTCAGAACTGACACCTAAACTTTTCTTTTTTTTTCTTTTTGTCTTCACTTCAAATCCGCGCTCATGGCACTAGTGCCGTTTAGTCCGACCCGTGGTCACACAGAAGAGCCCTCTCCACCCTCCCCTCCTGCGGTGCTTTGCCTTCGATTTTTAATGCGAGAAGAGTTCAGCACTCTCTTCCCTCTGTGTACACACGAACTAGCGCTATCCTCTAGGCCAGGAGCGGAAGCGAGAGAAAAACTCACTTTGCAAGAATAGCTCGCTTACGCCGTTATTCGAACCCGTGACCTGACCTCTAGATCTAGAAGGTTTCGAAGTTACCAACTAGACCACCGGGGCGACCGGCGGCTATGCATTGCTGGATGCTGGACGTGTTTCTTGCACTTGTCAACCATCGAACCGTCACGATGTTCCTTCGAAGCCTCGAAGTACTTTCTACAACAATCATTAGTGTACTTTGGGCTGGAAGAGCCCAGCGAACCTCACCGAACCAACGACAAGACAACAAGTACCGTAGTCGGACGTGATTGCTGTACATTGTGCTGTAGATTTTCTAATATCGAAAAGTTTACGGCGGTGCCTTCGAATTCAACAGTGTAGTCTGTATCAAGGAAGTCTTGATCGGATGGAGCGGTGCCTCCGTTTCTTTGTTTTCATCAAACACATTGGCGACCCGTTCGATTATGATCCACATGGGAGAACAGGCGCAAACGGGGACGTGTCATCGTCTCTGCGCCGATTTTCGGACCTGTGCGCTACCATACTTACCGGCGAATTTAAACCAGCCTGCAATGTACTTCAGTCCGTAGGTGCCACTCCGCACCCCTCACCGCCGTACGGCCGTAACCGTTGAAAGGCCGGCATTCCTGTCCAGACGTTGAACCGGCGCCCTTCCATGACCGCAGTTTCGCATGTCGATCTCAGACACTCATTCATTCGCACACCCCTTATGTATATGGATAAGAGCTGCCAGCGAGCCTATTCCTTGCCTACTATTATATCTACACACGGCGGTGCGCACAATACATGTTGGGTGTGCTCAGCACGAGATACGGATCTATGGAGATCTGGTGTGTATCATGTTGTTTGTAGATGGGCGATCCCCGCTCGTAGGCCGGCGAGCAGCGTACCCTCTTCACTCCGTTAAACATATCCAAGGTCTTGAGTCGAACCTTTTCTCTTTCGCATCTGACGATACAGCTAGCGCCCGCGTGTCAACAACAAATGGCTCAGATTTCGGCGACAAATATGAGAACTCGACCAAAAACCGCACGTCAACCGTGGATCCTGCACCATGAAATGACTAACGATCGCCAGCGGTGACGAATTACGAAACCGAGCCTCGAAACCCTAGTTGACGTCCCTTGAACTCGGGCGCTATGAAACTGTAATATGCACCCACTTTTTCCCAACATCAGGAGATGCAGACGGTGGGATCGACGCCTACTTACCAAGTGGCGCGGACGACAACGGTGAGGCCAGCGCGAAGAGCAAGAACGACGGGCTGAGCGGGCAGATCCTGTCCATTGCTGTCCCTGCCCTCGTGGCTCTGTCGGTAGACCCCTTGATGTCGGCGGTGGACACCGCTTACATCGGGCGCCTTGCCGCTGAGCATGGTGGCGGCGAGGTGCGTATAGTTCCCGTATTTTGCGTCGACCGCGGTAACCGGCTGACAAAATAAAATGACCTTTAGTCTTGTTGATATAGATGTTGTCATCACAAGGACAACCGCTCCGGTCTCGGCTGGCTCAGTACCTCCTTATGTCCGTACTGGCGTGGACGCCTTTCGTGGGCACAAGCCAACTGTCCCCTTGTTATGGGATAATAAGCACGAAAACTTTCTGCTGTGTGTGTGTGTGTTTGACCTGGCATCGATCACGCTTGCCGACTGACCAACAATAGATGTGTGTGTCTTTACCAGCACCAACCGCTCGCTGACCGGTTGGCCAAAAGACACCGCTCTCAGTCCGGCTGAAAACAGAAAGCGCATCTGACGGTCACGTTGCGTCACCCCGTGAATGGTGGGCGTGGATGTGTACATTTTCTCCTTTATCGTCTATTGGAGATGTAAGACGTGGTTGGTTGTATCATCCCTGAAAAGATATCCCACCAAATCATCATCGTTTTCGCCCTCGCTCGACGTTCATTCCCTTGAGAGAAGGGACGACGCACATTCACTCGCCACCTACCCCGTCCCCACCAGACAAACCTCGAACAATGTTTTGTTTGTTGCGCCGCTCTTGGGACGGTGCGCACCAGCAGAGAGAACGTGCTTTTCGACAACACGTTTGACTGTTGCTCTGTGTGTAGCCGCACAAGGATGCTGATGCTGCGCAGTAACCCGAACGACTTGCCTCCCAACACCAACGTCCATTCGCGCCCCTTGCTGTTGTTGTTGTTGTTGTTGTTGTTGTTGTTTTGTTGTCATATTAACCGTTCGGACCTCACCTTCATTTATTCGCACCAATCACCACTTGACGCGGGCGATTGGTAGTGCGAAACACGGTGTGGTGGTAGTGGTATTCTTGACGCGGCGGCGAAGTCCCTACAATGCAAGTGTTGCTATCGTCCCTCGGCTGAGGACACACATGGGTTTCCGATGGAACAGGTGTTCTGAGGCCGGGGAAGTGTAGCTGAGATTGATACCCCACCTCCTGTTGTACACTCTGCGGGGCACCATGCCGGTGAAAACGAAGGTGCTTTTAACAGGGGGAGGCCCCAAACCAGCGTAACAACCGGGCCACAGTAAATCCATAACACTTGGGGACCCCAAAACCAACACACACAATGTAAAGTCCTTTTCATAAGCCCCCAATGCTCCTTAAGAATGCTGTCCTTGACCGACAAACGGCCGTTCTTCTTTCGCTTCCTCCCCTATCCATGCACGCGCTTGTTTTTGCTTGGACGTGTGGGGACACGGCAGATCGGGCTGGGCGCGTTGGCCCTGAACACCAACGTCTTCACGTTTTCCTTCTACATCTTCAACTTCCTGGCGACAGTTCCAACGCCCTTCGTGGCCTCCGCCAGAGCGAAAGGGGACGAGAAAGGGGCAGCCAGGTAAATTTGGACTTTACAAATTACGTGGGTGGGTATTAACAAAAAAATGTGGGCTTTTTCGTGTTGGATCGGTGCGATGTCCTTTCTAAGTGAAAGCTTTTTACACATCCGGTTTTCACACGTATATACTAGCGTTTCTGGGGGAGTGGGCTTTCCTGTTGCGCCCATTTCTTCTTTGACTTCACGTTTACGAATATCAGCGATTTTTGGGCCCCTTTTGTGCGTATTACTCGTTGGTTCACGCACGATAACCTTGTTGTACCTATTGAGGTAGTTTTTCTCGCCTGTCACCGCGGAAGGTGTACGCGACGATCAGACCTGTGCACTATGGATGGTAGACGATGTTGGGCAGATACCGCATTGGTGTTTTTTCTTGTGAAGCAATGACGAAAACATCGACGACCGCTGGTCGGGTTACGGTTTCCGGCAGCGTCGCCATCGCTGATCCAAACGTCCCATGAGTATCACCGTGGGGTTTTATCATGGGGTATTTTTTTTCCTGGCACGAGCCGCTTGTACAGCCTGTCTTCCGATCGCGGTTCACGGACTGCTTCCATTGCGATCGTCCCAACAATAGCAGAGACTATCCCACGGAAATAGTACGGAGGGCCTTGTGCCGAGCTCACTCATTCTGGCACCAAGACTCTAGACTAGGGCACCATGGAATGAATCTCCCCCAAAAGAGCTTGTAAAAACGTGGCAATAACACAAAAACGGAAATGAGCCCGGAGAATCTAACCGGTGACGCTCATTCCCCCCCGCCAACGCCAGGCTGATCGGGCAGCTCCTCACGGCGGCGCTAGCTCTTGGGGTCGTTCTCCTAGTCATGCTCGAGTTTTTCGGTGTGCACCTGCTGCAACTGCTGGGTGCGACGGCCGTGAACGAGGATCAGGCAAGATTCATTGCAGTCGGAACCGTCTTCCTCCTCCTAACGATGGGAGGGGGGTGCTACTGTAATCGTGGTGCTCGTTAGACCATTGACCTTCGCACCCCCACACAGAGCCGGGACGGGACACGCCGGGTTTTCAAAGGACCAGGCTATGACATCGCCAAGCGCGCGAAGGGCCGTGAGGCATTTGGCTAGTCGCACCCCCCTACCGATGACGGAGGGGGGTATTGGCAATGAAGTTCCTGGTCGACACTCGTGGCACCGACAGAAAGCGTTGTCAAAGAGGACATTGATGCAGAAAGCGGGATGCAGCTTTTGGCCAGTGACGAACGTCGAGGTGGAGCGCGTCGATAGCCGTCATACTACATCATTTGTCCGTCGGCTTTCAAGAGGTGGAGAATCGTGGTTTGTTCTCATGTTGTTGGGGTTTTTTTCTCTCTCTGTCTCTCTTTCTCTGCTGCTTGTCGATGTTCCCGGCTGTTTTGGGGATATTTTTCTCTCGTTCTCGGAGTCGAACTAGCCGCCGTCATCGTGTACCACGTGCGAAGCTTCTTGCCCGCATCTGGCGATCGTAGACCTAAGGCATGTATGTGTTCCTGCATGAACACGGCGGGCTCTCATGTTTGTTCTTGCATCAACATGGCGCGCTCTTCACCTTGGAAGGGCGCGTCTCTCTGCTGTTCGGGTCATTTTTTTCAGGCGAATCACATTGTGCACCGACGGCGTGCTCTCGTCCCCCCCCCCCCCCCCCCCCCCCCCCCCCCCCCCCCCCCCCCCCCCCCCCCCCCCCCCNCCCCCCCCCCCACCCCCACCCCCGTAATGTGGAGGACGGCGCCCCCGGTCAAAAGCGACCAACACCCCTCCTTACTGCTTCACACGGACCTAGCTCTTCCTCAGGATGAAGGCTCTCTTTACGTCTTTACAACCTCCCTGTCCCTCCTTGCTGGGTCGCGCAGGCGTTACTCTTCCTCAGGGCAAGGGCTCTTTCGGCACCCGCTGTCCTCATGATGTCCGTCGGGAACGGAGCCTTTCGGGTATGTGTGTTCCACTTAGTTCATATTTTCGTTTTTCCTTTTTTGTCCGTCGAGGTGGAGTTTTTGTGCTCCCAGACGTAGTGCATGTTTTTGGGTTCGCTTTTTTTTTTTCCGTCGAGGTGGAGTTTTTGTGCTCCCACACGTAGTGCATGGTTTTGGGTTTGCCTTTTTTTTTTCCGTCGAAGTGGAGTTTTGTGCTCCTAGTGCTTGTTATTGGATTTTCCCTTTTATTCGTCGTAGTGTAGTTTGTGGGGTGCTCCGCTGGTTGTCCTTAGCGCGAGTCGTTCGTTGCACTCTTCGTACGGTCCTACCGTGATCTGATCAGGGCTTGTCTCACGGGAAGGAGGAGCTACACTTTCACACAGGTCGCAGTCCAGATGGCGCGTGCTGTTCTTTTGTGGCTTGTCGCTTGAGACCTTTAAACGAAAAAGGACGAAGGGGACTCAATTGAGTACGCTTGCACTAATTCCGGTCCTCGATTTTCCGTCCGAAATTTCCGTGAGGGTCGTGTGCGATGGGCATGTACTTGTTGGCATTGTCCTCCGAAATGCTCGAAGCGCCTGCCTGCTCTCCATTAAGGCATGCGGGTCCAACCAAATTCGGCGGCTCGATTTTCACCAACCCTACCCCTTGCCCCCCTTGCGAACTGCTGCGGAAATACGCCCCTCAGGGGTTTCTGGATACGAAAACGCCGCTCTTGATTGGATTGGCCGCCAACGGCCTCAACTTCGTTCTGGACCCTATCCTCATCTTCCAGTTCGGTAGGGAAAAGAACGACCGCCCCTCGACGGTTCCACACTCTGACGGTGTCACTCTTTGACCCAACAGACTAGCAATATGATTTTTTCGTTTTGGCTTTTAACTCCGAAGGGTTTAGCACTCGAACGGCTTCTCACTCTGGATTTTTCACTCGAACGTTTTCACAGTCTTCGACGTGTTCACCCTCCGATGGGTTCACACTCGAAAGGGTTTTCACTCGGACTGCTTCACCGTCAACTGGTTTCACGGTCTAACTAGTGTTTTACACTCTTGACCGTTTCACACCCTATTGGCGCTGGAGTAACGGAAAGTTTTTTTTTTTACCACAAGATGAAAGGGGGGTGAATATTTGGCATTACATGTAGCAATGATCGGGATCGATTAGAGTGATGGCGGGGTGACTTTTTTTCTGGCCGTTGGTGTGTGGCACCATGTTGTACTGTCTCTCTCTCTCTCCCTCTCTCTCCCTCTCTCTCCCGCTCTCTCTCACACACACGCACACAAACACTCCTCTCTAGCTCTCTCCCTCTCTCTTACGTCTTCTCTCTTCTCTCTCATTCTCTGTGCCTGTCTATTGTTGAGGTTTTTTCGGGTGGTAGTGGCGGCGGTGACTAAGCACGGATCCCTTTCCTATGTTACATCTTGTGTGCTCAGAATCGATCGCGGCTGTCACCATCGTCCGTAGCGTCCTTTCCAAATCGACACACATGAGGGCGGGTCCGACGAATGGACCAAGGATCCTCTCGCGTCGTGTTGTGAATAGCGCTTTTATCTCTGACGACAACACCGTCGTCAGTGAAGCGGCGACGATGGTTCACGACAGCAATCGTGTGCCGCCGTCGTCGGTGGATTGTTGTTGCTTTGAATTCCGGTGGGGTGTCCATTGTACATGTTGCTGCTGCTGCTGCTGCCATACGTGGGTGACGGCCCGATTTACTCTGGCACCACGACGCCGTGTTTGACGTATCAACCGAATTCATGCGGGAGGAAGGTCACAAGGTGGGGCTTTGTTTTCTGCCCGCACTGCTTTTCCCGTCTGCGGGGTGTTTTTGTTTTTGTTTTTTCAGGATGGGGCCTTCAGGGCGCAGCGATTGCGACCGTAACCGCCGAGTGGGCGGGCGTGATGGCCTTCCTGGTGCTGCTCGCGCAGAAAGAACCCTCCATTCGGTGCGTGGTGGTGGTGGATGGTGGCGACGGTGGTGGAAGTAATCGCTTTTTTTTTTTTTTTGT